CTGGGGTGATTTTTCAAGTGAGGAGTCATGATCTTTAAACTTTCGTGCTATAAAGAATGCTGTTCATTAAAAATATTTATATACATCCAGCAGGGAAGATCAAAATGTAGTACATTCTACTCTTCTGCTTTCTAATTCCATACACAATAAACCTTCTCATGGGGGGGAGCAGTTATTACCGCTTTCCTTCCTAGCTCTCCCCCTGCTGCACTACAGAGCATACTTCAAAAGAAAAATTAACAAAATGCATCAAGGTACAGACACAGAATTACACTGGAGAGGATTCTTGCTTATGCTGAACTAAGAGCAGTCCATTACGAACTTCCATGTAGGGGCACAGGAGACAAAAGTGAGCTTTTCTCAACGATTTTCTCCCTAAAAGTGCTAATGCTTGAAATATAGCAGACCTGAGAGTACACAATTTACTGAACATCTATAGTGAAGCAGACATCTGTCACTGTGCATTAAAGCAAGCTTAAATCATTTTGGGGTGTTGCAGGTTGCAGATGTTCCACATTACAATGTTTCTCCAAGTCTCAGAACACGTTATTTGGTATGTTTGGTGTTTTCTGCAAGCTTCTCTTTACGATCCGGAAGCCTTTTCAACTAGGACAGTTGCAAAACGGTGCTTAGAATCTCAGCAACATCCCTCCCCTGATCTAGGTATTTAAATGCGAGTGAAAGGAATGGGATTTCAAACTGCTTAACTCTCCCTGGTCTTTACTCTGAGCCATTCATAATTCATCAACATTCTTTTTATGACTCTTCTGAATGCTTTTATGCAGAATCTCTTGTTACTTTTCTATATTGCTGATTTGGGGATCACAAGTGTCAGCAGATCCCAAGTGTAGAACAGTTTCCTTTCTATGGAAACTGAGAAGTGATGTGACATGAAAAAGGAAGGCAAAAGATGAGCCTGATTCCCCATCAAATTCTGAAAGACATTACATCATAAGCAACTAATACACTCTCCTTGGCATTACTTGAAGAACATGCCACACACGGCAATATGTTTTGTGTAAAGAGGCAGAATGCATATGAAATAAGAACATATTTTCCAGGCTGCGCAGAATGTGGCCAAACAGTGAACTTCAGCAGCTCATTCATTGACTACCACAGCCCAATATTTCTGAGTTCAAGACACAAAGAAAGTGCCACACCATTTAGTTTAGTTCCGGCTAAGTATGTGGAAAATAGCAAAGAGAGGTGTTTAGTTGCACAAGATTGGGGCTAATATGACAGAAGTGCTCAGAGGACATTGGCTGACATTCTTTTAAGACTCAAAGAAACTTTAAAAAGCATTGTGCCTCTAAGGGGTAAATAAGCACACACGGTTACTGGCTTGTTAAAGCTAATTGCTATGAATGTTTAGTAAACATTTTTCAGAAAGCTCAAACTGAACTTTTCAGGTGCAATACTTAACCAGTAACCTTTGACCACTGTATGGGTCATATCATAAAGGTATAGTTAAAGTAGCAAGATCTACTTTTTTATAAACTACAGGAAAACTAGATTTTAATTTTATATATCAGCTTTTACTGAGTGTAGATCTTTGATTACAAATGAAATGTTATCTTCCAATAATCACAGCACAATCCTAAACAGGGTTGCACCCTTTAAACTGTGCTGAAGTAAATGGTCTTTGAAGGGTCTAACTCTGATTAGGATTGCCCTATCATACAACAACCAGTACTAAGATGCCTCTGAAACAGTATACCAACAGTTGGCAAGTTTGGGAGAAAATGACACAATCTATTAATGCCTTGCCTTCAGAGAAGGCAGAATACACCTTTGGATGAGATACCTTGGTTTTATATTAACGCTTTTAACATTATTTCATCTTACAAAAATATATTTGCCATAAATTCCTTTAAAGCAAATGCTAAACAGGCAATTATAAAATTAAGTAATATATGCCAGATGCATATGTGCAAATAAAGATAAAAATGTTTTATGGAGCATATGTTATGGAAGCATATGCACCTTTTCTGCTGTGCTTTCAAGCACTGCTACAGTAAGTGTTGCCAACAGTCCCTGAAGAAGTGACTTGGACTAAAGTTCCACTGTAGTGAACAGAACTTCCCAGTCAAATTCTGAAGCTCACCGTGCTAGTCCACAAAATCAACTGTCTTGAAGCTAAATAGAACCTAACAAAGATTCCTTCTTCTCCTGAGCCTGTGGATATCTACAGGCACAGGAAGAAGTGATAAATGCCCACAAGAGATGGTAACATCCCTAGGAGACAGGCAACGAGGGCCAAAGGGCTTTCCAAGGTTCTCAAGGGCAATCCTAAACAGAGTCAATGGGCTTACACAGAGGCCACTCTGTTTAGGACTGCACTGTGCACCGCTGCTAAGCAGCACATGGAAAGAGGGAAACATAAACTCCTGAGATAGAACACATGTGCATTTTACAAGTCTTTTGGAACTGCTGGGAGCAAGAAACAGAGACATTGCTTTCTTGCACCTGTGCAGAGCTCCCAGCTCCATGAGAACCTGTGTTTGGGGAGGCCTTGCCCTCCAGTCAACGAGCATCATGTGCTCTTTTGCTCTCCTGCACAAACAGAATCCTTCGGAATCCTCAGTTCTGCACTCCCTGGTTTGACTTCACTTTCCCTTTGTCTTTCTTCCAAGGGAACAAAAAGTACCACCTTTCATGCCTCTGGATGGTAAGGGAAGTGATTGTATTTTAAATACTTTGCAGAGAACAATTGGAAAATATTACTTCACAGATGTATGGTTATGCACGGAGCCTAAGGCTTTAATATGATGTAGGAAAGAAAATAAAGAGAGCAAAGGGCACCCAGGGGAAGGGGCTTTCAGTTTGGAGGGGGGAGATGGGCAGGGCATGAAGAAAGGCTTGGCTTTCCCCAGCCTAACAGAACAATGTTCCAGCCTCCAGAGTTGTAATGAGTGGAGTTAACGGAGGAGGAGGAGCTCAACTCTCTCGGTTTTCAGCACTGGGTTTTTGGTTTGTTTTGTGGGGGGTTGGGGGGAGGACCCTTCCTGCAGGAACAAAGCCACGCGCCTTTTGTCTCCGGCACTCTGGCCGCCTCCGCGCTGCTCAGCGCCCCCCCCGCAAAGCGTGTTCCCTGCTTGCGCAAGGCTCCCAAAGCCGCCCCGCAGGTTGCGCACTGCCGCAACGACGCTATCCACCGCGCCTCCCTTCTAGGCGCCGGGCATCTCTCTGCCTGGAGCAGACCGGCAAGACGCTCCGGAGGAGGACGCGAAAGTCCAGCCGTTCCGCTCCGGCACCTCCTCCTGCGCGGCCGCTCGCGAAACTCGAGGAAGCGCAGCCGGGCCCTTCTTCCCGCCTCGGGAGGCCACGGCTTTGCCCAGCAGAGGGGATGCTGCAGATGGGGGGGGGGGCGAGAGCCCCTCGGCAGTCTGGTTGCAGCAGAGGAGGCGGCAGTCTTTAGCCAGCTGCATCGGAAGGCAGTCCCGTTGGGCTCCGAGAGACTTACTCCCGAGTAAACAGGCGTAGAGGACGTGGTCCATCGGCAGCCACGCAAGGCGACGCGCTCTCCGCTCCGGATGCCATCAGAGCGCCGCCGAGCTCCGTCACGCCTTCTCCTCCCCTCCCCGGGAACTTGCCCGAGGAGGCGTGGAGCGCCGGGCAAAAGGCGCAGGCTAGGTGGCCGCCTGCCCCACAGTAGCCGCGGCCCTCGGACTCGCCGGCACGCACGAGGCCAGCCAGCCAGACCAATTGATCCGGCAGCTCCGCTTCCACACACCGGGCAGGGAGGAGGGTGATGCGATTTCTCTTCTAGCACGTCAATCACTCCGGATCTCCTCGCTAGATCGTGCCTCCCCCCTCCTCCATGCACGCACACGCCCCCCAAGGACAACGCTGCCTCAAGGCTGGCCAATTTATGTCAATTCGACAACAACTGGATACATTTGGGGGGGCGCGCACCCCTCCCCTCTTCTTCTTTTTGACTCTTAAATAGGAACCACCGCCACCCCAATCACACTACGACTTTCTCTAGTTGGCAAGTCTGTGAGGATCGGGTGCAATCCAGCAGAGGAACAAAAACCTGGTATCTACTTAAATTAATAATAAATCCCATCACAAGAAAGGGATCGTTTGGGGAACCAACAACTTTTCCCAGGGTACACGCATCACTGTCGCTCCACAGGAACAATGACATCAACGCCCCAAGCAGAAAACAACATAGGTAGGGGGGGGGGGGGGGGGGAGAGAGAGAAACAGGCCGGCGGTCTTCGTAAGAGAGGAAGGGGTTCCAGGAGGAACAGCGGACTTCTAGAGCGCCACAGAGACCCCCGGGACGGGACCTCCGCCTACCCAGGGCCCATCCAACCACCCAGCAAGGTGAGAGGGACCCGAGGAAGAAACTTCGAGGCGACCAAAGAACCCTCCGCATCCTCCCTAGGCAGACAGTCCCCATAACCGTATTGCGAATGGCCCTCCCCTGCGGAAAGCATATCCTGCCTTGGCTACGATGGGACGGAGCAATTGCCACCGGGGGTGGGGGTGGCGCGGGTGTGAAAACGCTCCCTTGCATCCAAGTCAACAGAGTGCGCGGTGCCACCTAAACTTCGGAAGAGGCGCCACTCCCTCGTCAGCACCCAAACAGAAGAGCCGACGTGACACCGCTGTCCGCACTGCTACTTCGAACCAATCGCGGCTTTGAAGCCCACGCCCCCGGCTGCCTTCGCTCGATCAAGTGAGGCTTGACTTCCATTCATTCTCCCAACAGCAGGCGAAGGCGAGAGGGTAGGAGGGGACCTTCGGCTTGCCAGCGCCTCCGCAGCAGCGGTTTCTGCCTTCGCAAGGCAACCCCCCCCCCCAAATAGCTTCCCGACGGGAGGATGCTCTGGCAGCCCAGGGACCAAAAGCACACTCGGCGCGGTGGGCGGCCCAGAAGGAGTGCCTGCCTGCCTGCCGGCCGGCCTCCTCGCATCCCTCCTCTGGCTCGCGCGCAACGCCGCTCGCCTTCCCTTTGTCCCGCGTCGTGTGAACCGACGCGTCGCATTTACCCGCTCGGTTGCGTCTCCTGGTGCTCCTCGGTCCTGGCGATCTCTTTTGTCTTGTAAAAGATCAGGAGGAGACTTATCGTGCAGATAGTCCACCGCTTCCGGATGGCACGCATGTCTCCCGCGAAGAGAAATGCCTCCCGCTTCCTTTGTTTGGCAGGACAGGTTCGGGTAAAAAAGAAGAAGAGAAGAAAAGGCGAGTGGTGCGCGGGGGGGGGGGGGGGGGGGCGCGAAAGAGAAAAGAAAAAAAAGCACCGCCTGTCTTGGTGCGCGAGGATCAAAGGCGGCGGCGGCGGTAGCGGCTCTTGGCCCGGGGCGGGCTCCTCTTCCCGGGCATTGGCCCGAAGTCCACGCGCTTCGAGCTCTCGGATCCTGCCGCTCTGTGTGTTCCTTTCACGTTGCCTTCCAGTTTAGGTAACAGCAGCGGCGGCAGCCGCCAGTCTCCGGGGCGTCACTTAGCCCCGCCCTTTCCCTGGCGGGGAAATGATGAGCAAAGCCCGGCCAATCGGCGGCCGGAGGAGGCGGGGACCGCGGCGGCCCGAACTTTAAAAACCTTTCTTGAGCGCGGCAGAGCGCTGCAGAGGTGGACGGCGCTGTTGGGAAAGGCGGTAGCAGCCCGAGCCTAGGTATGCCTTACTCAGCGATGACAGTCAGCGCCGGGGGGGAGTCCTCACGAGTGCACCGGGGCTCAGCTTTCCCATGCCGAAACCCATGGTACTTACCCCCCCCCCCTTCTCGAAAGAAATGACCGGAACAGCAACTATCAATTTTGCATTCTTTGGTAGGGGCGCTGCCTCCAAAAGTTAGCCTGGACCTCTAAAATTCCCCTGCAGTCTGAGCCTCTAGAGATCTGAAAAACTTGTGCTGTGGAAGGTAGCCAAAACATCTGGAACTGTGCACCTTCCCATCTTGCCGACTGCTGGTACAAGTGGGGTATATGTGTTCAGTGGTACATGCATCTGCCTGGTGGTGTGTGTGCCCTGTGTCAGCAAACCAGCCATTCTCCTAGAGAAGGCAACCCTTCTGGGATTAGGGAGGACTTGGAAAATACTTGTGTTGAACATAGGATACAGTTGAAAGGCCTACTGCTTTCCCTCTAGTGAAAGGGCAGTTGTTCTCTGTGGCTAACTGGGAGAGACTTTCCTAGATGATGTGCAATCCAGTTTTGCCCTTGCTTTTTAATAGCAGCTGTTCACAAGGATTGCCTATTGGACCTTTCAAGACATTGTCCAACAGATCACTAAATATTGGTCCAGCCTTAACTTTTAGAACAACAGGTATATTTTAATAGTCAGCAGGTTTGATACTAATCAAATTATCAGCATGTTTGATGGACTAATTGGCAGCAACTAATTTGATAACTTGTGAAAAAAGGGGGGGAAATTTAACTGTATTGAATAATTACAACTGCTACCCATGGTAGGTAAGTAGTTCTGTAAAGGTGAATGGTTCACTAAGCAGTCCTTTTCTATGGCTTTTGCCCAGGCACATTCTAAAATGTAGAGAACTTAAAGCAAACCAGAGTAACAGCCATTACTTTAAAAACTTTGGTTTTAAAGACAATTACACAAAACAAGCCACAGACCACAGTTACAGCAGATGGCCAGTAGACGAAGCTTTGCTATGCTGCTAAGTCTGCCTTGACCCTTCAGGTTGAAGGGGTGAAAAGCAGTGCTTAACGAAGGTCAACATAATGAAATAAAAGTGAGTTACTATCTAATCTGTGGTATCTTTTGCAGCATGAAATACTTGACATTTAATTTTTTTAAAGGAGCATTTGCCCCAATTAAATAATAAACAGTCACCTTATCAGGTATTTAATGGTATTTTATAGACCAACCCCATCTCACCCTTCATATGAGGCTCCTTCTGGATCACACGTGGGTGAGGGGAACTGATGGTTAGGCAGTCCTTTCTGCTGTGTGTAAATGACATTCTTCAGAGACTAACAATTTTAGTGGAGAATATGTTTCCGTGGACTCTGACCCACAAAAGCTCATGCTACAATACATTTATTAACCTTTAAGACTTATAACTGTGTCACTATAAACTTATAGTGTGTCACTTGTGCTTATCTGAAGAAAAGCTAGCTATTCTCCTGAGCTTTTCATTAAAGAGAAACCTCCTTAGGTCAGCCTGATTTTCAGTTGGTACTGAAACAGAAGTAAGCAACAGATCAGCTCAGCAGATGAGAGAAAATACAGACCTGTAAATTATCGGTCATGCTGTGTGCCTTGAATATCCTTAATTTGTACTGAAACAACCAAGGCTGGCAAGTCTGTAATGCACCAGAATTTTTTTGTTTGTTTCTGCATTGTGAACCCAGAACAATATGCAATGAGTGTACACACACACACACACACAGAAGCCACTTAATTCTTTGTGAGGAGTTGCCAGTGTTCATGCCCATAATGGCTTCCAACATCATTCTCCCTTCTGCCATTTTATCTTCACAACCATCTTATGAAGTACATTAGGCAGAGAGAGAAAGAAAGAGAGAGACTGACCCAAGGTCACCAAGCAAGCTTCATGGCCGAGTGAACATTCAGACCTTGGGTCTCCAAGATCCTAGTCTGATATTCTAACCAATGCATCACACTGCACTTGATCTTAGCCAAAAGGCCAAGAAGCTGTGGGCTGACTGTGAGGAAAAGTGAAGAGGCAGAAATGCTAGAGTAACACTTGCCCCTTGGTTTTTAGTTCAGTTTGTGAAATCTGTTGGTCTCTGTCTGATCTGTGGTGCTGGCATGAGTGGTGGTGTGTGCTGTAAATTTAACACTGCAAGGAAACTGTCATGCAATACTAAGGCCATCCCTATGATAGGCAACATTTATATATTCAGTTGAGAGGGCCTCAGTCAGAAGTCCATTCTTTCATTTGCCAAGGGTATATTATGGTGATTTTGGCTCTAGAAGAGCCAAGATTCAAATCCTTGCTGGATCACAAAACATTCTTGGAAATCTTAGGCAATTTATATTCTTTATGAACTCACAGGGTTGTTATGATGACAAGAGAAGAATTTTGCATGTTTGTGTTTGTGTGTATCTATATCTCTCCATATATGGCTGCTGTATTATGTACTCCTAAGCACAATGTTATGAGAAATTGTTTACCTGTGAAATATACATACCTGTGTGAACAATGCCATAAAAGCCTTAAGTTACACTCAGGCTGGAAGTAATGTTGTATATGGAGCGTGTGTACCATATGGCTAGCTTGTCCTTGGGAGGGCCAGGATAGATAGGTTTCAGAATCTGCAGCTTGGAGCCCTAAAGATCAGTGGTGCAAAACTTTGTGGGATTGGGTAACACAGGTTTGGCAGGAGCTGGAGAGTCAAGGATTGGTTCCTCTGAGGCCCTCCTAGCTGGGATGCTAACAGTTAAAACAGTCCTGTACATTTGGAGAAAGTGCACTAAGAAAGGGGGGGTGGAGAAGAGAAAGCATCCTTTCCTAAGTTCTTGCCTCTTAATGCATGTTTTTCAGTAAGAGAGATTTCCAAGGTGATATCACACTCATTATAAGCTATAGAACAAAGTTAGAGTCCAGTGGCACCTTTAAGACCAACAAAGTTTTATTCAAGGTATGAACTTTCATGTGCATGCACACTTCCGTCAGGCAATGAATTGGAATTACATATCATAGTTGTATATATAGGAGTGGTTTGTTAAATTAGCATGCAAAATAATGAGGAGGATACTTTTTTTAACAGATCAAAAGAATGATGAGCTTAGTTCTGTTTCCATTCAACTGGGAGGGAAAAAACAATATAGGTAATAAATACGTTAGAACTGGAGACTGATGTGCCCTAATTTGTGAGAATCCAGTCCTTAGACCCCCATCCATCTCCTTTCAAGCAGGGAGGTGAATTTTACAACATCTTGGCTGTGTAGAGTGTTTTCCTTGTCCCCAAAACAAAGAACTGCATTTAAATCTACCATTCCAAATTACTTTACATATTCAATTATATTCTTAATTGCTAAGAGTAGTAATAACATTTTGCTTCGATAAAACATGGAATTAACTGACAGAATCCTTTTCCCGAGGTACAGTGTTATGTCAGAGATCAACAAGATATTGCATTGCATTACAATAACTATTATAATCTACTATCTCAAAAGAAAAGGAAAACAGCAAAATATAGGGGATGTATAGCCCTTCTTGGTGAGAATACATATGTGAGGATTGAATGAGTTAGTATGGGAAAGCCGACAGGAGATTAAAAGTCTCTGGTTCGGGATGGCTCATGGAGAGATGAGGGGGTAGCTGTTGCTGCAGGGAAATTTCATTATTTTTCATAAGACTACTGAACTACAACGAAAAATATAGGGAGGGACTATAACTAGGGATAAAGGAAAGATACCCACACTAACTAAAAACCCAAGAGAAGGAGATCATTTCCGTGTTAAGCTATATGTTAGTAATAAAAGTGTTAGTCACACAATATACTTGTAGAGTTCTCGTTTTACTTCTATGTTAGTAAATTAATTTTTATGAGAGAACTTCTTGAGCATCTTCTTTGCTTCAAAGGGTGGTTTACAGAGTCCTTCTGCCCTTACTTCGGTTTTCTGTCTCTAAAGTCATATACAGTTTTCACTGCTCCCGTTCCCGCTTCGCCCACAGAACCCTCGTCCGTTCCAGAAGTAGCAGAGTCACTTGATTTAGTTTCTTCATCTTTCAGGTCTTTCTCTGATCCCAGCTGATGTCTCAAAAACTCTTTAGCTTTAAAAATGAAGTCAATCTTCTCTCTTTTATCGTTGATTTTAAAAATGACACTTTCAGGAATCGCCCACCGATACTGAATTCCATTGGTTAATGACACTTTCAGGAATTGCCCACCGATACTGAATTCCATTGGTTTGAAGAAATGAGATGAGCTCCTTGTAGCTTTTCCTCTTTTGACGTATTTTAAATGGAATGTCTTTTAAAGTTTTGATGGTTATATTCCCAGATTTCAGTGGATTTGCCGAAGTTGCATTTAATATTGCACCTCTGGTCTGTCTTCTCGCAAATCTAACCACAATCTCTCCAGGCAGGCTATTTTTGCTGTAAAAAATGGGTTTCCTGAAGTTTTTGTGTTGTTTCCACATCTGTCACTCTTTTCTTCACTTTCTTATTT